AGAAAGAAAGAAAGAAAGAAAGAAAGAAAGAAAGAAAGAAAGAAAGAAAGAAAGAAAGAAAGAAAGAAAGAAAGATCAGGTGAAATGTGGTTTGTGTGCATGGTGGAAACGAGCTTTTAAAGGACCGCGCGCTCTAAACAAGTGTGTGCACGCGCGTGCGTGCGCCCACTCCCATGATCTGCAGGGCAAGGGTGAYGGAGTGTGACTTCCGAAAGCAAAAAAACGTCCAAACTGACAGACCGCAAACCACGCGAGAACACAGAACGGGGGAGCGCGCGCRCACACACACATCCTATATGGCTTTAAACGAATTATAGTCATAAGATAAGCGAGAATATACGAGCTCACGTGACTAAATTATTTGTGCCGTCCAATAAAAATGACTCACGTCTCTCAATAAGAAAAGGAAGTTAAAAAAAGTACCAAAAAGAGGTACTTCTTCCCTCCATGATTTGCATTTATTTTAAAGGAATGTGTCAACATGAGCTCGGTGCCCGGCTCGGTATCAACAGATCAATGGGTGGGACGCAAATGATATGAAAATGATTTTACGCGTCAGAGAGTTTGACTTCCAGGTTGCAAAACGCCTCTAAAAAGCCAACTTTTAAAACCACACGGCGGCAACAACACCACCACCACAAGCTTCAAACACCCTGATTTCATTTCTGTTTTTCCCCCAGTTTTTTTTTTTACTCAAAACTTCTTTTCTGCATCCCTCCCGGCGCTCTGACGTCAGCTTTTAACAAACAACAAATCTTACCTCGCTGTTACGGTGAATAATCTCCACATACGTTCCATGAAAGTTGTTTACACTGAATCAGAGAGTGAGGGGAGGAAAAAAAGTGAGAGGGAAGCTCCGCTCTGGAAATCCGATGCGCCCCGGATCTGCGTAAAATCTGCTCCCTCCACAGACACACACACAGAAAAAGAAGCGCCGTGCCAGCAGAGCTTTCAGCTGCTCCCAAATCCACGAGGCTAGTGAAGTTAACAGAGTGCAGAAAAGACAAAAGGGTGGAGGATGGTCTTTGATCAATAGGCGGGGTTAGAGCGGAGTGTRGCTTGTTTTCTTCACATGGTGATTTTTTTTATTAGTATTTTTTTCCTCCTTCGCTTTTATTGGGCCATCAGACTGAAAAAAGTGCCCTGCTGCCAGCTGGCACCTGGACTTGGACTCACATGTTTGTTTGTTCGCCGACAAAACACCGCTGGTGCGCGGCTGCTGCTCCTCTCCGCGTCACGCCTCTGTTCGCCCTAAAAACMGAATCCAAGAGTCCTCTCCGGGAAACAGCCAAAGCCTTACGATCCCACCCCCMGGTGTTGTTTACTACATGTGTTCAGTTATGTTAATTTAGAGTTATGTCAGTTTTATTCAAACAGCCACTTGTTGGTTTTCACCTCTTATCCGTGGAACAGAAAACAGTTTGGGAAGCAGGGATCTTCCCAGCCCTCCTTCAGAAAACACTCCTGTTTGGTCTCTCCTGCAGATAAGATAAACGAGTTCAGGTGTGTGTGTGTGGGGGGGGGGTGTCAGAATGGAGGCATTTCCTCAGAGGAAATTAAAAAAAACCCAATTAAGTACAGAAAGGAGAAATTAAGTAGTTATACAGTAGTTTTCTCTAAACTAACTGACATTAATTGTCTTTGATAATATTCACCAGTGCAGATAAGGCTCTAATTGGAAACATTTGGGGAAATAAAGGCCTAACATTTTTTGTCAGAGTGCTTATCACCTGCCATAATTTGAGATTAAGATTATTTTATGCCGATGCATGATAATGCAGCWCTGGTTAAACCATAGAAAATGATCTCATGCTGTGTTGTCATGCTCAGAGTATGTGATGACTCTCAGCTACTACCACACCCAATATTAGCTGTGTGTGTGGGTGGTTACGGCTTTGGTGACATTTGGGGGCAATTTTAAGACAAAAATCCTACCTTTGGGGACAACTGGTGCATTTGGGGACAGAAGTCGAGTCCCTGTTTGGTTTAAATACCATTGGTGGGTTGGGGGTTGGGTTTAGGACCAAGGTGTGGATTGAGTTTAGGTTAGTTTTAGGGTCAGGTAGGTACCTGTGAGGTTAGCTTTAGGGTCAGGTAGGTACCTGTGAGGTTAGCTTTAGGGTTTGTGGTCAGGGTTAGGCTGTAGAAATGTAATGGAAGTCAATTGAATGTCCCCAATTAGATAGCTGTGCAAACTTGTGTGTGTGTGTTTTGGTTAATGTCAATGGTGTCGAACTTGACTCCACAGCATCCACGAACATTTAATAAGTACTTTCTCAATCAAATTAGTCCAGTACAAAAATTTCTATGAACTGCATTATTAGTTTTTGTTGTTGGTTTRTGTGATGGCAATCCTCGTTGGTTTTGGCCCATCTTGGATTAGCCATTAGCTTATCAATCCCATGCACGTCAAGTTGTTTGAATTCTCTGTAACTTACACAGATTTTCCAACATTTTGTGTCTATACAGACTTCTAGAGAAAATYTTAAGGCTTTTTATTGTTAAAAACATTGCTTCGAATTTCTTTAACTTTCAGAGCCGGTAAGAAAATGCTAAGATTGCCACCTCCTCATCCTCCCTCCCCTGCTCCTCAAAGGTATCTGCAGTAGAAGGAGTTTCTTGTTGTGTGGGTGGAGTTTGTCCTTGTCCTAACAGTGATTAGCAGGTTCATAAATACCTATCTTTTACAAGCTGGTTTTGACCAAGCCRAATTGTTATATGTCCCATTACATTTGGTTTTCAAATGTCATGCAGCTAACACATTCCTGTCTCGAGTTATAAGTGAAATTAATATTTATATTAAAAAATGTATAGTGCTTCCTGGCCATTTCGACTAAACTACWCCCAGCTGTCTCCAGCTTCTTCAAACCCCACCCAAAATCCAATCAATCACGTCTTTAAAGGGGCAATATCATGTAAAATCAACTTTTTTGAGCTTTATATCATGTTATAATGTTAAACTCTCATAAAAAACATGCCCAAAGCCTTGCTTTGACTCATTCATGCATGTCTGAGAAATCCTGCAGCGTTTTTAGGCAGCCATGCTGAGGTGGGGACCAGAAACACCTTTGTGGACCAGAAACGCCCCTGGGATGTGTTAACCGTGCCAAGCTTCCTCATGGCAGAGACCCCCCCCACACACACACACCTCCCTCCCCACACACCGCCCATGACTCCTGCAGGCTCTCGGGTGAAACTGAAACTATCTGCTGAGCTCTTAACACTATTTCTCATTCAGTGAAGCTCTTTTCAGATTAAAAATACCTTGGAGGAAATGTATTTTTCAGATGCCAAATAAACTGCATCATAGCAGCCCCGCACCCTCGCGAGCGCGACCCYCGCACCAAAATGGGCGAAACAGAAGCTGTGGTTCTTAAAGAGACAGAGGCCAATTTCAAGGCATTTAAAAGGGGAAGTGATGAGAAGATAAGTTTATTTTCAATTTAAACATAAAAACAGCATTTTAATAACAACTAAAGGTGACATAGATACTTTATTATGGTATAGTATTTAAATTTATTCCCTGGAAACACATAATATTGCCCCTTTAACAAACTRTAACAAAAGTCAAACAGACCAATCATGCCTTGGACAAACTCCTCCCACAAAACAAGAAACTCCAACATAAGCTTAGGTTATAGTTGACACGACGCACAGGGCGCGAGGGAGCTTGCGTCAAAAGTGGCGCAATCGTGGCGTCCCCGCCCCTGTGCGTTGGCTCCGCCTTGTGTCCTGGCATGTGGTCGTGCACCTCCGAAATTTTAAAACTCTGCAAAGGCTGCACGCCACTCGTCACAAAGGTTCTCTTGCTGAACAGGTCCGAATGTACCGGCATCTGTATGATCCCTCCATGAGAGATCGTAAAGACRACCAGATGGCACCAAACTCATGGAAGGAAATAGCAACGGCTTTAAAGAAAGATGAGTTAATRTGCCGGAAGGCATGGGAAAAAAAGCCGAGAAGGTCAGCAGAAGTGGTGATCTTGGCTGGAGGAAACAAACCAGTGTGGCTCTCTCAGTTCGTGAAGCACAGAGAAACAGATAATATAGAGAAAGRGGTAATTGTGTTTACTTTGTTATGTGTAACGTCAAGCGTTTCTTGTTCTACACTCTCTCRTRCTACTTTCCCACTGGTTTGGCACCGTACTRACATCTGTCGGCRACGGAAGAACAGCGATWACATGAACGTCAACTATGTTTTCACACAGCGTGCGGCTCAGGAGCSCGCACACTCTGCGAAGCTTGCGCGACAACCCAAAGCAYGACTATAACCGAGCCTTTAGTCATGCGCAGAGACCCCCTTCTTTGCTTCTCTGCAGCCATAGTCGCCGCCTCCATGTTCTCTCCCCTCTGCTGACAKTTCAATCATACTCCCTGTATCGTGTGCGASTGAGCTACCCCRGAGGGTCAAGATACAGATAAAWGTTCGAAAGRGTTGCCATGTAWACAATACAGTCAAACTTAGATTTATTTMTCCAGTTGAGAGGTGTGCTGCAGAYAAGATACTGACTGTGAATAATAACTCCACAGAACCTCACTTAAACAAAACAAAAGAAATAGACTGGAAATTTCTGAACTGATGTTCTTTCTAGTACGAATGTTACAGCTGATAAAGAGCTAACTATTGCTAACTTTATTTGGACAATCATAAAAAAACTATCTAACACAACATCACTCTAAGAATAAACCTTATGTTTTGCTTCTGAAAAGTGATTATATCATTAAAATGTCAGCTGTAAGTAGAGTTAAGAAAAGCCTTGACCTGACAGATGTGTAAAATTACATGTAATACATCAACAACTGCACAAGCAGATGGTTAACTCGGTTCAACACACTGTCATGCAGGCTATACAAAAAGGCTACTTTTGTA